TGCTAGGAGCATACTAATATGTATGTCAGTTTGCTCCACAAAGCAAAATGTATAAAGAAAAGGAAACCTGGGCTAGTGTTTATTAATCTTCTATTGATCTTATTTTCAAAATATTTCCACAAACCACAGAAAATTATTATACATAATAAATATCACTCCAAATGAAAAGTTAAGGCTAGGAGAATATGATGCGAGATTTGAAAAAATACACTCCAGTTTTGTTTTGAGTTCGCTACAGGGCACATGCACACTTACCAGAGAGGTAGGAAATGGAGGTGGATCATGAGAATGTATCCCCCAGGGGAGACGGCCAAACTGCAATTCTTTCTCCTCTGGGGATTTTGGGCATGCACATACAAGTGCCCAGCATATTCTCCAAGTCACTAAGTCCAGGACTTAAATTGCATAGTGGGCCATGCGGGATCCAGCTACCTTAACCACCATACCACTGGGTGGCCCTAAACCAATAATTTAGGAGTATAACTAGCTTAATGGAAGTAACTATTATTATTATTATTTTTTAATTTGCTATGGGGCACATGCCAAAGAGAGAAAAAAGAGAGAAAGAGAAACTGAGAAAACACTCCCTGGGGAGATGGACACACTGCTATTGCTTCTTCTCCATTCTCCTCTCAAGATTTTGGGCATGCAAGCACAAGCACCTGGAGTGTTTTTGAAGCCAAGGGGTCTGGGACTTGAACCACGCAGTCAGTCATGTGGGATCCAGCTGCCTTAACCACCATGACACCGGACTGGCCTCAAACAAATTACGAAAGCCTAAATGCTACTACTAAAAAAGTTGATAAATGTACTAGACAATTTAGCAGAGTACACATTTAAGACTCCAAATCTTCAGGATCAACAGATGGTGTAATGGTTACATCGCTGGACTCCCACGTGGTCCACCAGGGTTGGAGTCCCAGAGTCAGCGACTTAAAACTCACACCAGGCATGTAGGCATGCCCAAGATCTCAAGAGGAGAATGGGAGAGAAGGGATTGTAACACGCCCATTCCCCCAAGGGATGATTTCTCACTTTCTGTCTCTCTTTCTCTGTCTCTCCAGCAAGTACACACCCCTATAGCAAAAATCTCTTATTTAAAAAAAAAAAAAAAGACTCCAAATCGTCTATATTTCTGGAAGAAACCATTTCTTCTCATAAGAATTTTAAAAAGGGAGAGTCCAAATAACCCAATACAATCACTCTGGAACCCATGTCTACACTGTATTAACTGCTATACCACGAACTTGAGAAAGGTGCTTGGGATTAAAATGTACCATTTTTTTTTCTACAACTATGCAACTCACACATGACAGAGTTCTGCACATCTGCATATTATGTTCAACATTATAGTGATTTTCTGCTCCAGGACAAGAAAAATAAAATTACACACTGGAATTCTTTGATCATTTCCCAAAGAATCAGAGGACAGTATTTTTGCTAAGTTGTTATTAACACTGGTTTGAGAAGAATGCTTAACAAACACTAAATAAGAGAGGAGAAATAAAGCCAGAGAATTTTCTGTATTATCTAAAACATTACATGCTGCATTACAGAGAATTAGATACCTAAGAAAACTACTAAAAATAAAACTTGTTTTTGTTTATAAAGGTAAAGTATGCTAGGCTTTTTTTCTTTTTTCAGACTTATTTTACTTTTTTAAGAATTAATTTACTCAGAATCACACTCTAATGCAGGTCACACTCCAACTCTGATGGAAGGTACTTTTTATATTTAATTGCAGTAGGGACTCATTCCCAGGCAAAGCAATAGTCATTACTTCATGGAACCAGTAAATGGATTGTTAATAAAATGAAGACGGGCAATAAAGCTGTCCATTCAATTCCAAATACTGGTTATAAGGTAGAGCTACTGATATTCTTTCATGTTTAGAAATTCTTCCTATTATTACTGAAGAAAGTGTTTTTAATCATGCTAATAAACCTTTTGGAGATATAAAAAATTTATTTAACTTTATTTATTTATTTAAATTTGATCAGAGAGGGACAGAGCACATGAAAGAGAGAAAAAGTGAGCAAGGAAGCTGCCAGGTCCAGGACTCGAACTGCAGTCAGCCATGTAAGAGTCCAGCATCCTTAACCACTACGCGACCTGCCTGTCCCCCAAAACTTTCGTTTTAACCATAGGAACTTTTTAACCACACTTATTTTCCCATAATTTTAATTGACTGTATTATAAACTGAGTAAACAAGAGTTTTTCCTTTATAATTTTCCCACACGTGAAGAACCCAAAACAGTATCTTGGCTTCTGTGTTTACTCAAACTTCAGAATACATCCTGGAACTTGTTTTTTCCTCTCACCAAATTTACTGACATTAATTCTACTTTATCGATATATAATTTCTTATACTCTTAGGGGCCATTCGTTTATGCTTAGGGCTATACAAGCTATACTGTTACGGATATCCCTGCTCATGTCACCAGGAACACAAGTATCAAGAATTTTTCTCAGGTGCATATCTAAATAGAATATATGTAAAGAAGTAGAATTATTATGGGCTGGAACTATCATTGTAGCAGTTAGGTGGTGTGCAAAGGAAGCAGGATCCCACATGGTCAACCAGGGTTCACATTCCAGCCCCAGTGGCTTAAAAAACACACCAGTCTCTTGCGTATGTGTGCCCAGGATCCTAACAGGATGAAGAATTGAAGGAAAAATTATTGTGGTGTGACCATGCCCAGGCAGGAGGAGTGGGGCACTGTCCTTTCTCTTTCTCTCTCCTGTGCCCTCTAGCATTAAATCAACAAAAAAGGTAGATTAGGTCACAGAGTATTCTTCTCTTCAACTTTAACTAATAGTGACAAATTGCTTTCCAAAGCCAGTTGAACAAATTTACACTAACCAGAAAAAAAAAATTATACATGCAAACATATAGACATGTTTTGGAGCTCAGTAATGGATTTAAATATTTTTTCATTCATACATTAATATACATATTTGTTTGGTCTGGCCATTTAGGTTTCCTCTTTCATAAAGTATCTATTGAAGTCTTATACCTATTTTCTTTTTTTCTTTATCAACAGCCTCTCAGACTAGAACCTTTTTTTAAAAAAAGAATTTATTTTATTATATTATTATTATTATCATTTAAAATTTGACCAGGGTGGGGTGGAGTGAGAAAGCAAGCTGCTAGGTTTGGTATTTGAACCATAGTTGACCATGTGGGAATCCAGTGCCTTAACTACCATGTCCCTTATGACCATTTTCTTACAGACTATCTTTTTCTTAATGGTTTATAATGTTTGGATACTATCCTTATATGTAATGCAAGTATCTTGCCCTAGCTTGTCTTTTCTGTCATTTTATTGGCTGCCTTTTAATGAAAATTTTCTAACTTTCATATAGTGAAATTCATTAACCCTTTTCTTTACAGTCTGTAGTTTGTTTTATAGTTTTGCATTTCACATTTATGTCTCAATTCACCAAATATGTATATATGCATATTTTATCCACAATTTCATATTTTACATATGGATACACAATTCTTCCAGGATCATTTATTAAAAATTTCACCCTTCCTGTTGAGAGAACCAATCTGCTATTGAATCATTACTGTTCCTGCACATTTTCAATGGTATGCCAAGAATGCAATACCTTTATCCAGGCAGCTTTTCAGTTTTATATTGACAAAGGGAATGACCTAACATCTCTTCCCAAATAAAGACCAGTCTCCAACAACATTTCTTTTGTCCGTGAGTTACTTAAAATAATTTTTCTTGGGAGTCAGCAGTTAGCGTAATGGCTATGTTGCTTGACTCCCACGTAGTCAACCGCGGTTTGTGTCCCGGACCCGGTGGCTTAAAACTCACGCCAGGCGTGTGTGTGTGCATGCCCAAGATCCCGAGATGAGAATGGAGGAGAAGGGATTGTGGCCTCAGCAGACCCCCTGGGGGGTGATTTCTCGCTTTCTGTCTCTATGTCTCTCTCTGTCTGGGGAGCACACACGCCCTTTAGCAAAAACCTCTCAAAAAAAATTTTTTTTCTTAATTTTTATGTGATTTCTGTTGAGTTTTTGTAACTGATTTCTTAATTAAATTGGTGTTGTAATGGTTTATAGGATTTCAATCCTTTGAAATTTGTTGAAACTTTTAGCCAGCAGGTAGCATGGTGGTTGGGGTGCTGGACTTCTACATAGACAGCCAAGGCTTGAGTGCAAGACCTGGCAGCTTCCTTTATCACTTTCTCTCTCTCACTCTGTCCATCTCTGGTCAAATGAAAAATGGATAAATGAATAAAGTTAAATAAAATAATTATTTTTAAAAGAGAAGGAATTTTTTGAAACTTGTTTGATAGTTCAGTAGGTAGATGATTTTCATAATGATCTAATTGATATTTCTATGCTGTCTACACAAAGCATGTATCTATTGAATCAAGCTTATTACACTTTTTTTTTTTTGAGGGGTTTTTGCTATAGGGCGCGTGCGCTCGCCAGACAGACAGAGAGAGACAGAGAGACAGAAAGCAGGAAATCACCCCCCAGGGGGGATGGCCACGCCACAATCCCTTCTCCTCCACTCTCCTCTGGGGATCTTGGGCACGCACGCACACGCGCCCGGCGTGAGTTTAAGCCACCGGGTCCGGGACTTGAACCACGGTCGACTATGTGGGAGTCCAGCGACATCGCCATTACGCTAACTGCTGGTCCCAACTTTTTTTTTTTTTTTTTTTTTTGGAGAGGTTTTCACTATAGGGCGCGTGTGCTCACCAGACAGACAGAGAGAGAGACAGAGAGACAGAAAGTGAGAAATCACCTCCCGGGGGGATGGTCACGCCACAATCCCTTCTCCTCCATTCTCCTCTCGGGATCTTGGGCATGCATGCACACGCACCTGGCGTGACTTTTAAGCCACCGGGTCCGGAACATGAACCGCGATCGACTATGTGGGAGTCCAGCGACATAGCCATTACGCTAACTGCTGGTTCCCTCACTTTACTTATTTTGTGGCCATGGTTATGTGTTTCACACAAATTTTTCTTCTAATGTCAGTAGTGGAACGATCCACCCTTTTTTACTGGCAAAAGGTGAACAGAAAGCTACCATATTTCTCTAGGACATTTATAGTGAGTTATCTTCATTTTGAGAAGAAACTTGAATGAAAATAAATGTCCGCAGTTGCATACAAATTTAAAATGTCTATGCATTCCTAGCAAAATGAAACATTTTCCATTATATATCAATTCTTTTTATCTGTAGTAATTCCATTTGCCTTAATGATCTATTTCAAATGATACACTTTCTTCCTATTAATATCTGTCTAATATATCTTCTTTCCTTATTTTATTTTCAATATTTTTTCTTTCTTTCCTTGTTTCCTTTTTATCCCTATCCTGAACCCCAGATAGTTAAACATTTTTATAAAAATAAGGCATGCATATATTTGAATTTACTTCTATCTTATTTTGTTCATTTCTTCTCTCAGGATCTTGAGCACGAACGCATATGCACCCAGCGTGAGTTTAAGCCACATGGTCCAGGACTCGAACCGGGGTCAACTACATGGGAGTCCAGGGACATAGCCATTACGCCAACTGCTAGTCCCAATTTTTGTTCATTTCTTTTTTTTTTTTTTAAGGGGTTTTTGCTATAGGGCACGTGCGCTCACCAGACAGACAGAGACAGAGAGAAAGAAAGCAAGAAATCACCCTCCAGGAGGGATAGCCACGCTGCAATCCCTTCTCCTCCATTCTCGGGAGTTTGGGCATGCACGCCCCCGCCCCCGGCGTGCATTCTAAGCCTCTGGGTCCGGGACACGAACCGTGGTTGACTATGTGGGAGTCCAGCAACACAGCCGTTACGCTAACTGCTGGTCCCTTTGTTCATTTTTTGATGTTAATTTTTCTTTCTTTTCTTGCCTTCTTTGAGAATTTTTTCTCATTCCATCTTTTACCATCTACTAGTGTAGAAAGTGCATATGCATTACTATCATTGAAATTGTACCTTAAAATTTGTGCTTACTTATTCCAAGTTCTTTTTTCTTCTCTTGAACAATAAAAACATCTTTTGAGGGAACCAGCAGTTAGCATAATGGCTATGTCGCTGGACTCCCACGTAGTCGACTGCGGTTCGCGTCCCGGACCCGGTGGTTTAAAACGCACACCGGGCGTGTGTTTGTGCATGCCCAAGATCCCGAGAGGAGAATGGAGGAGAAGAGATTGCAGCGTGACCATCCCCCTTGGGGGGTGATTTCTCGCTTTCTGTCTCTATGTCTCTCTCTGTCTGTCTAGCGAGCGCACGCGCCCTATAGCGAAAACCTCAAAAAAAAAATCTTTTGAATATTTGCTCCAATTACCTCATCCTAGTTTATAAAATATTAGCTAGTATGTTAGTTCTAGTGTTTTTTTAATCTCATGAGATGCTTATACAGTCAATTTTTATTAATTTGCGTATATACTTGCCAATCTATTTGATCATTATCCCTTCTTGAATCTTAGACTCTCTGCCTATGATTATTTTCCTTTTATTTAAAAAATAGTATGTTGGTGAATTTTCAGATTTTATTTGTTTGAGCATGTCTTTATGTTTTACCCTTGCTTTTGAAAGGTATTTGTTTGCTATAAAATTCTAGGTCAATCGCCATTTTCACATTTGTTTAATGATATTCTACTTTCATTATTGTTAGTGAAATGTGATATTCCTTTAAAGGTAATGTCTTTTATCATAAAATTCTTTCTTTCATTACCTTTTTAATAATCCCCCCCCTTTTTTTAGAGATAGTTTTGCTATAGGATGCATACAACTCTAGAGAAAGAAAAAGTGACAATCACTACCCCCCCATACCCCAGGGGGACTGGCCATGCCACAATCCCTTCTCTTCCATTCTCTCAAGATTTTGGCCATGCATGCACACGCACCTGGCATGAGTTTCAATCAACTGGGTCCAGAACTCAAACTGCAGTCGTCCATGTAGGAGTCCAGCACCTTAACCACTATACCACGTGCTGGTCCCAAATTTCCATTTTCTCATCTGTGTTATATTCTAGATTTCTTTAGTTACCTTTCATTATGCTAGTTTTTCTTCAATAAAGTCTACTTGCTTTAATATCTATCCACAGGTCTCTTTCCACTGATTCTTATATACTGTCGCCTTGGATAATGTTTTTTTTTTTTTGGAGAGGTTTTTTGCTATAGGGCGCGTGCGCTCGCCAGACAGACACAGAGAGACATAGAAACAGAAAGCGAGAAACCACTCCCCAGGGCAGATGGTCACGCTGCAATCCCTTCTCCTCCATTCTCCTCTCGGGATCTTGGGCACGCACGCACACGCAACCGGCGTGAGTTTTAAGCCACCGGGTCCGGGACGCAAACAGCGGTCGACTACGTGGGAGTCCAGCGACATAGCCATTACGCTAACTGCTGGTTCCCAGCCTTGGATAATTTGTAATTTTTAGTATAAACCACTCATTTTCACTAGAATTGTATTAATGGGATTCTTTGATAATTATGTAAGCTTTGTCGGGATCTTGGGAGTAAGGCTAGTTTAAAAATCCTACTTTGAGGCAGCCGACTGAAATTAAGACTTCTCAGAAGGGTGCTGCAATAGTTGTTTCATCATTTTCTTTATGATGGGACCTTCACTTCCTTAATTTTTTGTTTCCATGCACTTTGGTATGTCATTACTTTATGAATCATGCTATGTGACAGGTCCTCTCTTCAAATCTCTGTAGTTTAAATAATCTAAAAGACTTAAAACATATTAAGAATTTTAAGTATTTTGCTATATCAATGGCCAAAAAGAGGCCATAAATTCCTTTATTAATAGCTCTGCCTGATGCCAACATTCTCTCTCATACACACACACACAAACTTTAAACTAAAGAAAATTATTATGCTACCTCTGAAACTTTAAAATGCTGACTTTTCACTATTTATGCCATTCTCAGTAACAAAAAGAAAAGACAGAGCAACAGATATAACAGTATAATCAAAACAAGGTGAGAATATAAATATCTACATATAGTTACTTTCATTTGTATCTAACCAATTCTGAATTTAGTATTGTTTCAGAATTCTGATCAAGTTAAAATAGTCAAAATAATCATTTTCTGTCTTAAGATATTTCTTATATCGTAAATTTCAGCATGTATTTACAGTATTTCTGAAGTATGGGTTCATGAATTAAAAAAATGTACTTAAGGGCCAAAAAATAGGCTCTCAGTTCAGCAATTCAATTCTCATGAACATCAAGGTTTTTTAGTTTACATTAGTAAATTATATAGACGTATAGTAAATAATTGCAATTAATTCTGTTCAATTAATATTATGTTCTATACTTTTTTAAAAAACGATTCCTTCATTTATTTTAATTTGACCAGAGAGAAACACACCGAGAGAGCAAAGCAAAGTGAAAAAGCAAGCCACCAGACCTGGGTCTTGAACTGTGGTTGCCCATATGGGAGTGTCCAGTGCTTTAACCACCATACCACCTGCTGGCCCCTGTTCTACACTTTTAAAAAGTGCTTCTTAACTTATATTATTGAATCTCTTCATACTATATGCTACATTTTCTATTTTAATTAAGTTTCTTTCTTACCTATATTACAGCTACCTGAGTGCTAAATCTGTTACTGTTTCCAGATAATTTTTCAATTGTTAATTAAAAATTTAATTTAATTCAGTATACTGTCTAAGAATTCTCACCAGGAAATAAAATATAGCACTGGAAAAAAATCAGAACAAAATAAAATACTACAGTTCATTCTTAATATCTAAAGTAAAACATTCCAATTTATTTTTCCCTTGCACCCTCAAGTTAGTCACTTGACTATTTCTTTCTTGTTACTCAAAAAGAATAATGAAGAAAATCAGTTTTGCTGTTTCTAAATAAGCTTTTACTACACTAGAGTGAAAAAGAACCATGCCATCTGTTACATTCTACTAGAACTAGGAAGAAGTAGAAATCAACACTTGAGCAACCTGTACTGAGGCCTTAAGAATACCAGTCAGTTCTATGAGTAAAGGAAGGAATGATTAACCTCAATCTACAGGCTGACCTCGAGATAAAGTTGTTTCTCATTCTGACTCTATATTCTAGCCACCTACTTAAAATCAATCTCATTAAATATTCAAAAATCTCAACACTCAAAGCATGTGATAACAGGATTTGGAGGGATTGTTCTTAAAGAGTTCTAGACTGTCCCACAACCTAGTGGTTAAAGAAGAGATTAACCAATGGCTGACCAAGACGTGAATCCTGGCTCCAGTGCCTTGAAAAACACACTGGATGCATGTGTGGGCCTGCCTAAAATCCTAACAGGATGGAGAAGTGTGACCACGACCCACTGCCAAGGAGCATTCGCCCTCTCCCTTTCTGTCTCTCTCCAGGAATGTGTCTTTTGGTAGTTAAAAAAATGAAGTAAAACAAACAACAACAAGGCCTGGTTGTACAGTGGTTAAGGCACTGGAATCCCACATAGCTGGCCAGGGTTCAAATCCTAGACCTGGAGGCTTGCTTTCTCACCTTGCCTTTCTCTATCACTCTGGTCAAATTAAAAATAATAATAATAGGGAACCAGCAGTTAGAGTAATGGCTATGTTGCTGGATTCCCACGTAGTCGACTGTGGTTTGCGTCCCGGACCCGGTGGCTTAAAACTCACGCCGGGCGCGTGTGTGTGCATGCCCAAGATCCTGAGAGGAGAATGGAGGAGAAGGGATTGCGGTGTGACCATCCCCTCTGGGGGGTGATTTCTTGCTTTCTGTCTCTATGTCTCTCTATGTCTGTCTGGCGAGCGCACACGCCCTGTAGCGAAAACATCTCAAAAAATAATAATAATAATAATAAATAAAATAATTCTTTAAAAGAAAAGGCTACAATTTCTAATTCTTTTTAGGTGGCCTTAAGACATTTGGAAATTTTATTTTCATTGACGTGCTTTCACCACCCATAGAAAACTTAATATTACCAGCAAATCAAGCACACTCATAAATGTCAAAAATGCATCCAGAGGGAACCAGCAGTTAGCATAATGGCTATGTCGCTGGACTCCCATGTAGTCGACCGTGGTTCGCGTCCTGGACCCGGTGGCTTAAAACTCACGCCGGGCGCGTGTGCATGCATGCCCAAGATCCAGAGAGGAGAATGGAGGAGAAAGGATTGCAGCGTGACCATCCC